ATTTTCATTTATGTATGAGAAAGACATATAGATGTGATAGATATATGATGATAGCTAGCTAGATAGTAGATAGATAGATAGATAGATAGATAGATAGATAGATAGAGGGAGCTGTGTAAGCAACTACAAATTTAGTAACTTAAAACATTCATTTAAAATTGATCATTGTGTGGGTCATCAATTTGGGAAGGGCTTAGTTGTGTAGTTGTGGTTTTGTGCCTCAATGTAATCAAATTTCATTCAGAGCAAATGAGTTTCAACAGAATAAGTGGTCCAAGAAAGAGAAGCCAGAATTTATATTCTAAAAGACCCAGTCAGAATCTGTAGTAAGACTATGGCAGTCCCAGAATCTCACTTCTGAACATTTTATTGATTAATCATATCACTAAGGTCAACCTAGATTCTAGCAAAAGAGTGGTCTCCTCTGCTCATTGGGGAAATGGCATGTGTGTGGATGAACAGAAGCAATTAATTTCAAATGATTTCAAAATAAGCTACTGCCAGTTAATTGTTACCACTAAAATGGAAACAGTTTGAAAATGCTTAAATATTATATTGTTATAATTTAGTAATCTATTACACATGGTCTTAAACAATGAAATGAATGTGGAAATGTTACGAACTACCTTTGGCACAAAATCTGGTAAAACCTGCTTTAATTATATGCAGATTTAGGTTTTTATATCAAGTCTGGCCCTATGCATCATTGGATATGCTGGCTTGCTCCAAGGTCCATTCCTGCAGTGAACAAAAACCATTATAGGATACTACATTCCCCCAGTTCATTGACTTTTTGTCTTCTCGTTAGATTTAGCCAATGGAAGTCACTGGATACAATTTAGAGTATCAGAAGAGTAAAATATCCATAGTTTTTATCCCCTTTCCTCTGCTACATCACTAATAATGGCTGTGAATGCTCCATATCTCTACCTCATGCCAGACAGCACCTCTCCTTGTAATTTACATACTAATATATAGATTTGACTAAAGTTCTATGTCATTCCACATGGCTCAGATTCTGGTTCCAGAAATGCCACCTCCTTTTATTGTCCCAGTAGGCCCAAGAAGTAATGAATTTCTGCTGTTGCTAATCTCAAGTTTGCTTCACCATTCTCTGATTGGTTTTTATCTCTGCTATTACTTTACTCTCTGTAAGTAAAACATAAGTTAAATAGACTGTCAAACCTCAGAGGGAAAGTAGGGGAAGGGGGTGAGGGCATGAGTAGGGGGATGGAGGGGCAATGGGGGGATAAGGGCACATATGTGATACCTTAATCAATAAAGAAAAAACATAACTATACATGATTTATTATTTGATGTTCAGACATAATCTAAATATAAATCTATAGGCAAAGCAGCATTTATTTCTTTAATTTAATAAGCTAAAATAAGTTAAGATGTGTTTTAATTGTGTTTTCAATTAGCTTTTATTACTTACCAAGATTACGGGCTTGGGCTGGTGTTGTTGCAACAGCTAGAAAATTGCCACTGTCAACACTCCCGCCAGGAAATGAATCTTCTTCATTTTGGCAATCTGGAGGTAAATATTTGGGATTACAGTGGCAGTTTTTTTTATTATTGCATACCTGAAAACAGGAAAAATGCCACTTTATAATATAAATAGTTCAAATTATTTGTGTACAACTAGAATTTTAAAATAATACTTAAGTCAGATAAGACCAATTTTCTTATGTGGCTTATGAGTACTTGAGTCCTCGCGCGCACGCGCGCGTGTGTGTGTGTGTGTGTGTGTGTGTGTGTGTGTGTGTGTGTGTGTTTAGCTGTGTGTGTGCTTTCCTAGGATCACTCTCAATGATACCTATTCTTGTGTGTCATAAGACTGGTACTTACACCTTGATTGTGGCATTTTTGTGGAGTACAGTCATAGTTCAAGTCATTATCTATACACTTCTGTTTCCTGCACAACTAAAAAGGAAATAAGCCAAAGTAAGTTAACTGAAATGGCATCTATATTTGTCATCTAATTAAGAGATATTGGTTTAAGAATAAATATTAATATACTAGAATCAGTGAGTAATTTATAGTGCTATGTTTTTAGCACTAGATGAGACTCTGATTATCTGAGAGTAAACAAAACATTAAAAACATCTTCCCTGCCTTTGCTGGGATGGACGGTACAGACCTGAAATAAATAAAATCAAAGATTAACATGTGATAACTAGTGTAATGAAAAAAATAGTTATATTAAAAATACAGGGAATTTACTAATATATGAGAAAAGTAAAATAGTATGGAGCACTAACATTGAACAGAATTTAACCAAGCATTGAAATGAAAAGTACTTGTAGAAAAAGAAATAATATTTAAAATGACCCTACATTGGAAATAGTATGGAACCTTTGAAAAATATTAAGGGCAATGTAGCTCTTACACAGAAAACAGCCATTGAATGATTGATTAATATTTGAGTTCTACAATGTGCTTGGCCCTGAACACACACACACACACACACACACACACACACACAATTCTATTGTTCATATTACAGTAAAAAATATAGAGACACAAACACAGGCCCCCAAAAAAACCCTAAGCATGATGGGACTGAAGTTGTTATGGTAGGTTTGTGTAGGACCTTCTGATCTCAATCAGAAAGTTGGCCTATTACCTATAAGCAATTGGTTTTATTTAGAGATTTAATTGAAAATGGGAAGCCAATAAAAGTAGATTTTGGAAAAGAAGATGGAAAGGCAGAAGAAAATGTAGAGAGATAAATTAGAATGTCATTACAATAGTCCAGGAAAACAACCATAGAGTGAAATTGAGTGGTATTAAACTTTAGATGAAAACCAGTAGCTGTATTTGAGATATAGTTAAAAAGTTTAATCCACCTAAGTTTAGTGATATATATGATGGAAAGAGAGATGGGTCAATGACAACAAGGTTTCTAGCTTGTATAACTCTTTTGGTTGTGGCACAATTAATTGAGATAGGGAAAGCTGGGCATAAAGTTCAAAAGTTTAAAATATTTACAATATTTTTTAAGACTTCTTTCAACTTGTAATATTAAGTAAGACTATGCTTTAAAAATGAAAAATAATGTTACTGCATTCATAGAAAGCCTTAGGGTAACTGATAATAAACCAAATAACACATAATTGGAAATATTATTTTTATAAAAGTTTTCTAAATAACATTGTCAATATTTCTTTGGGATTCTTTTCTCTTGAAATATGTATGACCATACTGTACTAATTTTTAAGGCTGGAGAGTGAATAGAATCTGCTCACATAGATTTTGCTAAACATTACTGAGCATGGGGAATACATTATTGATAGCGTCTGATAATTATAGCAACACATAACTCTAAAACTTAGAAAGAAATATACTGATGACAAGTATAGTCAGGTTATTTTGAGTAGATGTGGAAATAGTCTAAACGTTCTAGCTCTGGATAGAGATTAGTGTTCCTGCAGTTAAAAACATATCTGTTCTGTTAGAATGACCCCTTAACAACTAACTAGAACTTAGGCAGAGAAGTTAGATGTATAATTATCAGAGCTGTTGTCCAGAAGAAGATAAACCTAATTCTCAGAATTGTTAAATTCTTTGAGTCACACTAGAAAGTTGAGAAGGAATTATTGATATTGTTTCTGTGCAATGAAATTATTTTTTTCTGATTTAGCCTGTGTACTTCTGTTATACCATGGAGGAAGGCTAGGGAGAAACACCATCCAAAGTGGGAATCTATAAAACTGCCAAAATTATTTATCTCCACATAAGAATAATATAATGAAAATAATTGTTCTTCATCAAACTCTCTTAAACATATATATTTTTTAATTTTTATGAGACAAGAAATATAATGCATCTTCTTGTTCTTGTCACTTAGGCATAGTAGGTTTCTGAAGAAACATTCTTGTATGGAGTGCCTAAAATGATGAGTAACACAAACAAAATATATATATATTCTTTTAAAATAAACACATCGTCGTTACCGAAAATAAAGTAAAAGTTATTTTTAAGCTCAGAAAATGCAAGACAATGTGATTTCTCAAAAGAATCAAATACTGAAGCCAGCATTATTCCAGTGGCCATCAGTGACCAGACATATAGGATTTAAATGATCATGTGTACCCTACACCAGTGACACTGATGAGCAGGTTTTACGTAATCTTGAAAAAAAATTCTGGAGAGTAAAATAGTGCACTAGGAAGTCCCAAGTTGTTTTCCCTTAGAGATATTTTTTTAAAAAGGAGGAAGAAAGAGAGGGAAGAAGGGAGAAAGAAAGGAAGGAAACCTATAGGAACTAGGGAAGCAGTCTAAGATCTAAAGCAACCAAGCAAACCCCAATCAAGAGAAAGCCAAAAAGGCAGAAACCTTTGTGGCTTTTTTGTTCAACCTTGTGTCGCTCCTTTGGCACAGTCTTGGTTTGAAGAAGCTGAGTTCCCAATTCCCTCCCTAAACTGAAGGGTGCAGAAAAGACCATATTTTCAATATTACATCTGAGAAGTTCCTGAGGACTTGTCTCATTTACCTAATTTAAATCTCAAATGGAGAGATGCAATGGACACTGCTCAGGAACACTAAGACTTTGCTGACACCTGGGGCAAGAGATTGTTGGTGGAGACATACAATAGATCACTTAAAGCCCCAAAGAAATGCTTGCATGAGACTATTTGGAATAATAAGACATTTAAAGCATTCATAAATGTGGGAAATCAAAAAAGTCATACAGAGGCCCTGGAAAGATGCATATTACAAAAGTTATCAGACCACAGCTCTCTCCACAGGCTGATGCCAAGGGTCAGAGCTACCCAACAAATTAGTACAGGACTGTCCCTGCCCAGAGCCAGCCTGAAAACAATGGGGGAAGTGATTGTTTTATTTAAAAGATCACAAGAAATAAAAAGAAACAGAAAAGCATATCTCATTTAAGTGAAGTGACATGTTAGTTTTAAATAACTATACTACATCTGCTGAAGAAGATAAATGAAAACTGGATAATGAAAGGAAATTAGCCCTAGCCAGTTTTGCTCAGTGGATAGATCATTGGCCTGTGGATTGAAAGGTCCCAGGTTCCATACTGGTCAAATCAGGTACCTTGATTGCAGGCTCCTTTCTGGCCGGACCCTGGTGAGGGCGCCTGCAGGAGGCAACCAATCAATATGTTTCTCTCACATCGATATTTCTCTCTGTCTTTTCCTCTTTCTTCTACTCTCTAAAAAATCAATGGAAAAAATATCCTTAGGTGAAGATTGAAAAAAAAAAAGAAAGAAAGAAAAAGAATAGAAGGAAATTAGAAAACTGACATGAACAAAATGAGAATATCAACAAAGATATTGCAATTTTAAAAAGCAATAAAAATGATGAAAAATACAATACAGGCATACCTCTTTTTCTTGTGCTTCACTTTATTGCACTTTACAGAATATATATATATATACTGAAGGTTTGTGGTAACCCTGTGTTAAGCCAGACTATTGGCACCATTTTTCCAATAGCATTTGCTCACTTTTTGTCTCTGTGTCACATTTTGATGACTTTCACAATATTTCATAGCTTTCCATTATTATTTTTGTTATAGTGATCTGTGATCAGTGCCTACGATGTTCCATTGCAATTGTTTTGAGGTACCATGAACCATGAACATGTAAGATGGCACATGTAATCAATAAATGTTGTGTGTGTTCTGACCACTCCACCAGACTGGCTGTTTCCTTATCTCACTCCCTCTCCTCAAGTCTCCCTATTCCCTGAGACACACAATTTTTGAATTTGACAAATTAATCACCCTACAATGACCTCTATTGGAGGCCCTAAGATTTTTGGGACAAAAATCTTGAGGCCCTTAAGAGTCATGTTAACTATACTCTACCTTTGCCCTATAAATGGAACAATGAAGCCTGATGACAGCACATCTATTTATAACATGGTTTACTGAATCTTTTCAGGCCCCTGTTGTGACTTACTGCTCAGAAGAATATATTTATTTTATTTATTTTTTGTCAATTGAGCCTACAACTGAGATATGTGCCCTTGACTGGAATTGAACCAGGGACCCTTCAGTCCTTGCAGGCTGAGGCTCTATCCACTTAGCCCAACTGGCTAGGACAGAAAAGATTTTAAAACATTACTGCTCATTGGCAGTGCACCTAGACACCCAAGACCTCTGATGAAGATGAACAATGAGATTGTGTGTGTGTGTGTGTGTGTGTTTCATGCTTGCTAATACAACTTCCATTCTGTAGCCCACAGATCGTCTTATTATGTAAGGAATACATTTTGAAAGACTATCGCTGTTATAATAGTGATTCCTCTGATGGGTTTCAGCAAAGTACATTGAAAACCTTTTGGAAATGATTCACCATTCTAAATGTCATTAAGAACATTTGTGACTCATGGAAAGAGGTCAAAATATCAACATTATCAGGAGTTTAAAAGAAGTTGATTCCAACGGTCATGGATGACTGAGAGGTTCAATACCTCAGTGGAGGAGGCACCTGCAGGTGTGGTGGAAATAGCAAGAGAACTAGCATTAGAAGTGGAGCCTGAAGATATGACTGAGTTGCTACCATCTCATGATAAAACTTTAATGGATCAGGAGTTGCTTCTTATGAATGAACAAAGAAGTTGGTCTGTTGGAATGAAATCTATTCCTGGTGAAGATGTTGTGAAGACTGTTGAAATGACAACAAAGAATTTAGAATATTATGTAAACTTAACAGATAAAGCAGTGCAGTGCTTTGGAAGATTGACTCCAATTTTAAAAGAAGATCTGTTGGTAAAATGCTATCAAGTAATGCAGAAAAATTGTTCATGAAAGGAGGAGTCAATGGGTGAAGCAATCTTTATTGTCTTATTTTAAGAAATTGTCACAGCCACCTGAACATTCAAAAATGATCATCCTTATCAGTCAGCAGCCATCAACACCAAGACAAGACCCTTTACTATAAAAAAGATTA